GAGGTTGCTGTGAGCTGTAATGCCACGGCACTCTACCCAGGGGGACAGCTTGAGGCTCTGTCTCAAAAAAAAAAAAAAAAAAAAAAACTGACCTGGAAAAGGGAAGCCCTCTTTTCTCTGGGGCTGCTACACTAGAAAAATATACACCTAGAAATGCTGAAGGTCATCTTGTCACCAAGATGAGACCTGCAGAAGCAGAAAGAGAGAGAACATATCTCTGGGATCCCTGTGTGAGCACTCACATCCAACTTTTCTGAAGTCACCTTGCCCTTGAACTTTTCGGTAACGTGAGCCAATAGATTTTGCTTTTTCCTTAAACTCATTTTTAGAGATTTATGTTACTTACAATTAAAAGAGTTCTCCCCCAAATAAAACTGGAACCAGGAACGGAATTTTGCAAGTAAAGAGGCTAACATGAGGACTTGGCCGAGCCCAAGCAGGTGGAGGAGGTGAGACTCCTTCTGTCCATGGCTGGGGACTCAGGAGCCCTGCCCTATGGTAGTGCTGCCACTGTACCCAGGACTCAGGCCATGTGGCTGCCGAGACTGGGGCTTTAAGGGATTGGGTAGAATAAGCCAGATGTAGGTGTGTATTGGCCACTTCCTGTGGTCTTCCGGAAGGGACCCTAGGAAAGTGACAATAGTCAATAGACAGAAGCCGGTGCACCTTACAGCGGGGGTGGGGGGAAACACAGCCTTCCCAAAGAGGTCTTTTCTGCCTGTATCAGCCACCCAGAGCAGGGTCATCTTGGAATCATAGTTGAATTCTCTCCCACCATTTAAAACCAGCAACAGTTCGGAGCTTGAAAGTGAAGGAGGAGAAAAATAGAGACCTGTAGAAAGTCTGACCCACAGCCTTCTCCCCTGAGCTCCACTGCTGCATACACCCTCAGTGGGGAAAAAAATGCGACCTTCGTGGGTTCCAAAGGTTGTTTTGTTTGTTATAGATCACTAAGACCAAATGGAGGGGAGGAACAGGTGAAAGAAGATGACCAAAGGGGGAAGGCCCAGGAGGAGATGCCTGCAGCTAAGTCAGGGCATGGGGAAGGGATGTGGCCTGTGCCGCCGGAGGGCGGTGACCACAGTGATGATGTGAAGGGGCATGGGCAGGAAGTTTAGAGAGACCTAATGGCCTCTGCTGTTTTAATTCAGTGGAGTGGGTGGAAGAGTCATTAGCTAAAGGAAAGGGCTGGAGGAGAGTGGTGAGGATTGGGAACACCATTGTTCTAGGGGACAGGGATGCTCGCTTAAGAGGGCACTATGGTCCTGCTGAGGATGGACACCTCAAATGTGGAGATAAGTCAAGTCAAAGGACTTTGGGTTTGTTTCCCCAGATGGTGCTTAGAAGCCTAAGTTTAGCAAAAGTAAGGCACATCGGAGCACTGAGCCAGGCTTAGGTTTTTTTTAGACTGAATTTCACTTTGTCACCCTTAGTAGAGTGCTTTGGCATCATAGCTCACAGCAACCTCCAACTCATGAGCTCAAGTGATTCTCTTGCCTCAGCCTCTCTAATAGCTGGGACTACAGGTGCTCACCACAATACCGGCTATTTTTAGAGACAGGGTCTCGCTCTTGCTCAGGCTGGTCTCGAACCTATGAGCTCAGGCTATCCACCTGCCTTGGCCCCCCAGAGTGCTAGGATTACAGGTATGAGCCACAGTGTCTGGCCTCAGGCTTAGCTGTTGACGGAAGGGAGATGGTAGGGTAAGACAGGAAGGGACGTGAGGGACAGGTAAGAGAGAGGTGAGGGGAGAAACTGGTGAGGAAAGGAGTAGAGGCAGCAGGCCTGAGGGACAGCGAGCAAATGACCTGGCCAGCAGACTCAGGCTGCAAAGGGGTATGAAGACAGAGAAGGTGACAGTGCCTGGGAGCCATGGGAATCTGTGGCCAGAGACTGCAAAACAGAGCTTAGGATCTCCAAGGTAAAGTATTCCCTGGCAATGACTTCCAAAGCAGCCTTTCCCTGACTTCCAATCCTCTGAGGGGTCACAGAAAGAAGTCTGCTACTCATGAAAAGAAGTCTGCATTTGTGGTCTTAGAAGTTAGTAATGATCTGATTCATCCAGAGATTAAGAAGGTAAAGTTAACCTGCAAGAATGTCTGGGTGTGTTGTGTTCATGATTTGCAGCCTGGGGACTGAGGTTTCCCCAGAACCAGGGTATTTAGGTTGTGGGGTGCACGGTTCTAGCAGGCTGGCATGGCATCCTAGGAGCCCCAGGTGGGATGCTCACCTTGACTGTGTAGATCTGGAAATAGATGGGTTGGGTGCCCATGCGAATATAGTAGGTGATGACATCCAGGATGAAGGGGTCCACAGTCCGGGATGTGTCCAGGGACAGAGGCTGTGAGGGAGACAGGCAAATGTCTTAGCCGTCTTTCTCTAGGTACTGTGGGAGGGCCCATTTTCTTAAACTAGAAACTCCAAAGTATCCCCACTCCACCCGACACTCTGGATTCACTAACCCAGCTGCTTTTTCAACACCTTCCAAATCTTTCCTACCACCTGATTTCTACTCCTCCTCAAAATATACCTGTCCAGAGCCCCATCTCCCAAGTGACACAAAAACACACTGAGCACCCCTATGTGTAAGGCACAGTGCTCTGTGTTTGCGGTGATGAGAGGCTTGAGTGCAGAACAAGTGATGAAAGAGTGTGGATGGGGTTCTAGGTGTGGATTGGCTGCCTGCCATTGGCCAGGAGGCCGTAGTGGGCAGTCATTCAAACTCTTTGAGGTCTGAGTTTCCTTCTAGGGAAAATGAGATGTTGAACCACATGAGCTGATGTCTTTTCAGCTCTGATGGTATCTGGATCTATTAATAAACTAACATCTGCATGCTATTGGGACTGGACTACATGCCTTGTCCTCTGGGCCTTCCTTAGTCCCATGTGATTCTAAAGCATCACGATTGGGTATTTCAGGCAAACAGGACAGAACATCGGCATAGAATGTGTTAATATCAGAGTTTGAAAGCAGCTAGGAGTTTATCTCCTCCAGCTCATACCCATTCCTGTAAAATCTCTTCTGACTCTCACTTCTGGTCTATTGGAACATTGTTGCCTTCAGAAAGGTCACACTGAGGTACGAGCTTATTCTGAGAATGCTGTTATTGTTCATAATGTTTCTGCTTCTTTGTGTGGAAACTGCTTTTGGAATAAGCATAAGGATCATACAAATTGTAAATTATAGAGGAAAGGGAAGCAGGGAAAACCTCAAATCTTAACATGTGCCCTGGCAGGAAATAAAACCTACCGACAAAGGAGGTCTGCATCGAGTGATCCTCCTGTCATGTCCTCCAAGTTTCAAGGAAAAGAATTTTAATACCCAGCTAAGAGGTCTTTTGTGTATATGCAAAGACATTTTCAGATGAGGTGTAACTCAGAAAACAGGCACTACCCAAATATATATATATATATATATATATATATATATTTCTTTTTTTTTTTTTTTTAGTTTTTGGCCAGGGCTGGGTTTAAACCCACCACCTCCGGCATATGGGGCCGGCGCCTTACTCCTTTGAGCCACAGGCGCCGCCCCAAATATCTTTATTTGAATAAAATATGTCAGAAGACATCACAATCAGTCAAGTGATAAAGCAAAAGGGACAGCTCAGTAAAGTGGAAGTAAAAAACTAAGATGCAAAAGAAGGAAAATTGTGTGAAATTTGACAATGTCAAAGAAATGAAAATAAAAAAATTATATACAAGAATCAGTAGTTCCCTTTTAAACTAGTAATAGCTACTACCCAAACATAACAAAAGAAAGATACCGTTCACAACAGCAAGAAACACAATCAAACATGAAGGGTAAAGTTAGCAAGAAATGGGAAAAAACTGACATGATGAAAATCGTATAATTATACTGAGGGATATATAAGAAGACTTTAATAAATGAAGAGCTATACCATGCGCCAAGAGAGAAAAATCTTTTTTTTTTTTTTTTT